TTCGACCAGCGGATCTTCGACCATGTTGCCAAAGTATGCAGCTAGTCTAGTTTATTTCTGTGTGTCCCACCAACTCATCTATTTGCTTTTTAAAACCCGTGAAAACTGCCCCGTATACACCTCGTGTACACTCCGTATACGTTATCAGTACATGTTCCCAATATATGTGGCCGAATAGATTCAGTATACGAATTGTATCGAGGGGTCCCCCACTCGTCAACTCGTTGTAAACTTGGCCGCGCCCAACTCGCGCCTTACTCGCGTTTAACTCGCGTTCAACTCGCGACAACTCGCGAAAACTCACGATAACTCGCGAAAACTCACGATAACTCGCGAAAACTCGCGTGTAAATCGCGCAAAATTCTCTAAAAATTGATCCCAACTCGCGTCAACTCGCCAACTCGGCAACTCGTTGTACACCTATTTTGGAAGTGGGGGACCCCTCGAATTGTGTACGAATTGTACGTGGAACACGTATGTAACGCCGTATGTGCATGAGAGACCTGTATGTGTACACGACGTGCACGCAACGTATACGCAACGCATACGCGCCGTATGTGCCAACGCCGTATATGTGTAAATTACATGTTAAGATTTGTAAATGCAAGCGTAGACCTTCACGCCATTCCCACTGAAACGACGCTGGTCTTTGGTATCAGAGTGTCCGCTGTTACAAAAATATGGCCGCAGCGCTCCAAGTCCCAACGGATGTGAACGCCAACCATACCCAACTAAGACGTCATACATAATACCACACGGAGAAAAATAATTAGTTCATCCAACTCATACGTGGGTTGATATAGGAATTACTAACGCTGTTGGGTTGTGAGAACGAACTAATTCGTTGTCTCATCCAAGTGTTCGCTAATGCAACGCAAAATTCGTTGGAGCAGCGAACACATCGCTGAGAGAGCGAAGGCGATCGTTGATTCTACTAAAAACGCTTTCGTTCCAGCAATCAGATTTATTCACTTCGTCAACGATCTATTCGCTCTCACAAGTAAGAATTCGTTCTACCAGCAAACGCTTGATTAAAACAACGGATATTTTGTTCCCACAACGAATTCTTTTTGCAAGCTCCAAATCAACTCAAACATGGGTTGAAGCAACGAATTATTTTTTTCCGTGCAATACGTTACCACATACGAACCTTACGTTACCTGTATGGGGATCGTACGTGGAACGTATACGGTTCGTACACGGGTTGGTTTTCACGGGTTTTACAAAATGAAGCATTTGTACCAAGCCCTGGTACATTTAATTTGTACCTCCGTCGCCACATCCAAATAAGATGGGTCGGCAATTTTATTTTATTTTGTGACCATACTGTATTGTCTGACATACTGTACAGGGGATATGCGTATCCTGTTTTCTGTGTTGCAGGAGGTAGAAAAGAAGACTGGTCGCAACATTGTTAGCAACACTAGGAAAGCTCGCCGCCTGCTCACCATGTGCGAGCGACTGAAACAGGACCTATCCGCAATGATGAGGGCTGAAATTGACATGCTGCCTTTGATCGGCGAGGATCTTTCTATAACACTCACGAGAGCAAAGCTCGAAGACCTTTTGAAAGACCTTCTCACTCGAACGAGGGACATTATCAAGGACGTTCTCAACTCTATCGAGGTACGTACGTTCTCTTCTCACCGTCACAAATTATGCGTATAACTGATAATATCGTCCGTCCGTATTATGGATAATTTAATTCGTATTACAAACACAAACTTATTCACCTACTAATGAGGTATCAACTTCAAGAAAATATTTCACCTTAATTTCTAAATCAAGCAATGTTTGCTCACGGATGATATTATGGATATGGACGATTTCATACGTATTCGTGGGGTTGAAATCTCATTTCCTTACGGCTGTGATCTTCGAATATTGTGCAAACGTAATACGGATCTCAAATCGCCCGTAACACGGATGAAATGTCCCGTAATATGGACAATTTGATCCGCATTACAAACATGCCTTCATCCATTCTAACCAGTTCGAAAAATATCGTAATAGTGTTATACGAATTAGTGTTTTCGATCGGGCGAGTTGGCGTATTCCAGCTAGCCCGTCGCTTGATGGCGTTCATACCCGACCTCATCGTGAGACGTGAGCAATGGAGACAGTTGCCAGCCACACAGTTATATCTCCTCCTGTGTCGGGCAAGCGCCGATCTAATACCCGCCCAATCAAAAACAACGAATACGTATCTAAATCATGTAAAATAGATGATCTTGTGTAAAACATGGACTATTTATTCTATCTGTGGTACAAACATATGGCTTGATTCGTTTGCAACGGTTTACTTACATGCACTGGAAATGCAAGTGTGTGAATGTCGCTCACCTGCAGATGAGCGACATTCACACAGCTTGCATTTCCAGTGTGTTTATATTGTGGGTAACTTATGGGTGTTAATGGCACGTTTGTAATACGGATCCAAATTATCCATAACGGACGACAGTGTACACGCTAAATGGTGAGGGACAATTTTCGTACGATGGCTAGATGTATCCTTGTGCACATCTAAATCAGATACAAGTTTGTATCTACATTTCATACAGCAAAGGACACATCTAACCTACGTTCAAAAAAATTAAAAGATCCCTTCATATTCAGAGTGAAGGTACCCTAAGGATGAAATTTACATGTTGTCGGGCAGATGAAGGCCGATGTCATTGACGAAGTCGTGCTGGTTGGAGGCTCAACAAGAATGCCGGCTGTGCACCGCTTGCTCGCGGAGCTGTTCCCGGGCAAGAACATCAACAAGAGCCTGAATCCGGATGAGGCGGTGGCGTACGGTGCAGCGGCGCTGGCGGCCCGCCTGACGGGCGACAGGACGTCTTACCTGGCCGGCATCTTGGTCAACGATGTCACCCCGATTAGCTTCGGGCTCGGCGAAGAAGATGGTGGCGTTAGCATTCTGATTCCCCGGAACACTCCTATTCCTTACTCGTGTGAAAAGTTCTATGTTACCGTTTACGATAACCAGGACTCTCTTTCACTCAAGGTTTGTGTGTGTCAGTCCTTTTCAGCTTTTACAAGGGAAAAGGGAGGCAGGGGGGCACTGATCAGGTGCTATTTTACTCTTTTTTACGTTTTGCACTGTTTCATTTTTTTACCGATGTACAAGGAAAAAAAGACTTTGTTGAAGGGACCAGTTTTATTTGGTAGGCTAAATTCTATAGCTGGAATCGAAAATCCGATACCCAACCAGAAGTAGGCTGACACGATTGGACACTTGCACGAATACAACGAAGCTGGAATTTGTTCTATTCGTACAAGTGTTCGGTCGTGACAACCAACTCCTGGTTGTGGGTGTGGGTATCGGATTCTCGATTCTAGCTACCAAATTTAGTCTACCAAACTGAGTTGATCCTCACAACAAAGTCTTTTTTTTTCGTGAACTACCCCTGCGTTACGAAACATTATTGTGATGGATCACAAAACAGAAAGACGGTTAAAAAATCGTTCTTTATGCCGCTATTTTTGTCAGTGTTACAATCATTTTTGACTGGTTGGTCCGCATGTTACGGTGAAATGGTATGCCTCGGTCTTTATAGTTGAAAGCATATTTGTAAAATGGATAAAGCAATTGGTAATACTGCTGTGATGATTTCATCCGTAGTGTTTTATGGCTGATTTGTGATTCGTAGTACGCTTGCAAAAATTCTCCATAAGATAGTCCATAAGGAAAAGATAGTGTTAGCAGTTACCATAAAAGAATCCTTGATTTTTATTTTCAAGTTTCAATTTCAATGTAGATAAAAAGTTAGCGGGCAAAGCGTGCTCTCTCATTTTTATCACGGTACTATGGTTTTTAAAATGTTGGCAATTTCCCAGATATATCAAGGAGAAAGAAGTATTGCGTCAAGAAACACCTTCATCGGAGAGTATTGTGTTGACAATCTGCCGCCGGTCAAGGCCGGCCTAGAAGTGGAGATGAAATTGTCCATTGACAAGGATGGCGTGCTGACTGTGCAGGCCAAGCACCCTGTCACCAAGGCTTGGGGAGGCTGCCCAATACAGACCGTTGACTGCACGACGTTCAGTGAGCAAGTAAGTCTCTTCCTTAACTGAGGGGTGCGATCGGGGCCGTACACGAAATACGTCAGGCGTTTTGGGGCCATTTTTCGATTCCCCGCCCCCCGTTGTCACAGTTAGTCACGATTTTTTCTCACCCCCCTCCCCTCTGTGGCGACACAGTTTTCCTTATCGATTCCCTGGCAATGAATTTCAGTCGAATGACGACATTTTCATGTTTTGTGGATATTAGGACTGATACAGAGGAACTACAAATAACTACGCGGAAGTTCCGTGTCCCGTCGCTATATCTCGCTACACCAAGGAAAAGGCTTAGCTGTAGCGACCATCGTATGTGATTAGGTTCATCATCATCCGAGATGTCGGGTCTGGTTTCGGATTTTACTTTTACTCTCGAAAATTAAAGGTATTCATGAAATGTAAACCCACTCCAAATCAAGGCGATGTAGCTCAAACGGTTTAGGAAATATAAAATCTTAAAGTTTTGAGGCAAAAATAGCAGCTTTAAAAGGAGTTCAAATTTCAAGCCGACCACTACTGAAATTCTTTAAAATATATTAGTATTTCCTTTCCGACGGATAATTTTGGGAAGTGGGTTACACTTCCAGTTCCTTTGCAATGAAAGCTTTTAAACAATCTACTACGTTCAAATTGACCTCTACCAAAATTCTTTCGGATATTTTGGTAACGTTAACCAAGTTATGCTAGAGATCGATTTGAACCCTATCACCTGGTAGCTCGTTTGAAACCACTCTCCAAAGTTATCCGTCTGAAAGGAAATAGGGGAAAAGTGCGCATGGCATACACTGAAAAAAAAAATACCGTGATGCTAAGGACAGGTGTGTTGCTGTGGCTTGTCGTAGCTGGTTGACGTTAGACTGAGGGAGAGCGGGGTACCATGATCCCTTTTTTTTGTTTTAGGCCTTTTGTTTTAGGCCTTCCCTCCCCTAAAGTGGTAGATGGCAGCTGAATCATAGGGTCAGATGGGAGCTATGTCTCTTAAATACAACATGCTTAGGAAATAATTTCTCTCAATCAAACCATTTCTGAGCCGGGAATAAAATATTGGGACCCTGCATTATGTTCATGGTATCCACAGTAGTAAATTGATCTGGCCCACGGCCATAACCGGGTTGTGTCATATGATCATCTCCCGGAGCCGCGTCTCGTACGCGCCTCGTTGGCTCAGTGGTATCGCAGCGGTGCGGTGATCGCATGGTCCGGGCTCAAATCCCGGCCGGTGCCGACACCAATCACCCCGGATGAGACAGCAATCAGCCGGGAGTGGGCTGTAGGTCAGAGCACTGGCTGCCTCGTCCTTACCGACTGCTTGCTCGAACTGTTTTACGGCAAGAAGCATTTTTACCGCTATGGATACGGAAAGGTTGTAATAAATACGCTTTGCTAATTTTACTACTGTTGACACGGAAAGACATTGCTAATGGAATAGGAAATTTGCTGGTCCTCTGTATAGCTAAATTTTATTGTACTGTGGATACGCAATTTTCTGATACAGGGCTAAGGCCAGGTGCGTTTTCAGGCCAAAGTGGTAAAATTACCCCAAATATTTTTTACAGTGTATAGCTATATGTATGCCGCGTAACAGACTTCGCGACATCCGATATCTCACCAAACACTGTTCCGCTGCGACGCGCCTGTCGTATATAAAGCTAGGCCTGCGGCGCTGACACCGATACAGGTTAATGGAAAACTTCAAAAGTGGAGCCTTATGGCCCTAACGTCAAATCGAATGTGCCTACAGCGACTGTCACGGTTTTCACTTTAAAATTTGCGATACGGAGCCTAAGCTTAACTGAATAAGATAACATTTAAAGTCCAAATTTTGTAAGATTCTGACGTAATAACCAACTTTTTCGTGATAGTAAGAGGTCCAGGGCATCCAGAACCCCAAGAATGGTCTGTTTCGACTTAAAATGTGTGGTTTGAGGCGGGTACTGTCTCTACAGTTTCTCGATTTGGACTATTTTTTTATTTTTGTTTTGGACTTTTGGTAATTTTTGGTTTATTTTTCGTCAAGAAGTGCTCCGTGGCCCTCAAACAGTTCAAGATAGAACAAAACGGACGAAATGTCCACCGAAGACTCGACCTTCAAAAGTTACCCTTAGGAGACTATTAAAAATAATATTTAAGAAAAAGTATTACTTGCAACCTGTGGTTTTGGATTATTTTAGAGCCAATTTTTATACTACAAAGCTTACCTTTGAACTCGATCTATCTTTTTGATACAAATCGACCTTAAAATTCCCAGGTTGGTAGCTAAATTCCTTCTCGAGTCAAAGTGCACGACCGTACATACAGACATAAACAATTATAATGAAACTTTTTCGGTCAGTAATAATGGGCTTCGCTAATCGGTCAGCCAAAAATGGCACTGGACCCTTACCATAACGCACGTTCTACTCGCCATTTAATGTACCCACTTTGACTGTGTGAGACTCACTAGTGGCGCGTGTTTTGCAGGTCACTACCGGGACAGTCGAGGACACCGCCGCCGGAGCTGACGACTCTGCAGATGACAAGGCTGAGCTCGCTCGCCTTCGAGCGAGGTTCCGCCTCGCCAAGTTTCTGCACAACCTGTCAGACCGTCAGGAGCTTGCGAGCAGTGTGGTAAGTTGTTAACAGACCAATTTTTAAAGCACAAAGGTAGGGTGTAGTCACAGTGCCACATCGTGACATTTTTCCTTCATGTTAAATTGATAGGGCCGGTCCGGTCCACGCTCATAGAGTGTGATACGTTATTTTACGCCTGTGCGCAATAATCCGGACCAAACGCCGCTAAAGTTGTCCTATGTAGCCCTATACCTGTTTCATATGGGTAGTATGTGCAAGTGCTGGCTGATAATCAGAAAAAATCTCAATCAGGAATCGATCTTGAAAGCAGATGATACAAATTTTAGGCATGTGTCGTAGTTTCAGGGCTGCCACAAGTCAGGGAAGTCAGGGAAATGTCAGGGAATTGAGCGCTGTGTCAGGGAAAGACGGCCGGCAGCGTTATTTTGGGTACTCGGCGAGGTGTTTGCAAAATTCCCTCCTTCCTTATTGCATTCTGCAGGGTGTCAAGCGACTCTGGAAATACGGGAATCTAAATTGACGGGAAACATTCGGAAAATATCCGGGAATCTTGTATTCAACTCGGGAAATCTCTTAAAAATTCAAAGTGCCGTGTCTTTCTTCCAGAATAAAATGGAAACTCTGCCGATAGGATGTATTAAGTTACCATTATCCCGCTCAAAACCACTCCTCCTTGACGTTAAATACCAAAAAAACTCTCGCTCGGTTCGCTCGCACTTTTCTATGACTGTTACCTTCCGTATGTCTCAAAGCGGTAGCGGTAATGGCCTGCCTGAAGGGACACTCAGGCACTTACTCACCATTCGCCCAGCGCCAAAGAGATTGTTTCCTGGTCTGCACTCCTGTCCTCTTCACTGTGAAAAATATCGTCGTAAATTTACAATTACAAAAAAAAATTAAACATGAATTACAATTAAGGTTGTAAATTTACGACAGCACATTTTTGACTCACCAAGGGATTTGAGGCGAGGGGAAATCACTTGGGTTCGTAGCGTACGAGCTATTTCGTGGTATTTCTCCTGCAATTTTGGTTATTTCTCCTGCCATTTCGGTTATTTCTCGCCTATTTCAGATTATTTCAGGGTATTTCGCGGTATTTCGGAGTATTTCAGGGGTATTTCGCGACTATTTCATCGACTATTTCGCGTCTATTTCGCTCTATTTCACCTTTATTTCGGCTTTACTTCGGTTTATTTCGCCTTTACTTCAGTTTATTTCGGTTTATTTCGGGGGAAGGTGTACGAACTATTTCGCAAGTGATTTCCCCATCGATTTGAAGTCGATTTATACTGCATGTACTTTAACGATTACAAATTGTTATTTTACAACTTGCGTCAAGGAAATTTTTCGTGTAAACCTACATACTTTATTTCACAGTGTTTCCTAATCGAGAGTAAGAGTAAAAGCTAGCTGACACCTTGTTACTTGTATATTATTAATGTTTAGTCTTAAGGTTTCTAAGGTATCATCTGCTAAAAACGTGCATAATTGTTCCAAGGCGTCGTCAAATCTTCTGCCTTGTACTCCTGTCCGGCCTTTTAGGTAGAGATGTGCGACAGCTTCGGACTCGAAACGAAGTCTTAGGAAAGTTTTAAAGTCCAAAAACCCGGCAGGTAATTTTTCCTTCACATTTTAAACACGAGGTACCTGTATGGACTTTAAACCTCTTAGTCGTTATTAACCATGATACATTTTCACATTTTCAAATTTAAACAATTCGAACACCAAAACCCGACGGGGTGGAATGGAACCCCCGATAGTGCGACTTCGAGTCGAGTATTGAGGCGTTCCTGCCAGGTTATCACTACCGATCGGGTCCTCGAGGTCTTAGGGGATCATCCATTAAGTACGTCCGCTGTTTTTAGCCCGCCCTTCTGCTTTTAAAAAAGCATTGAAGCGGGCTTATGCAACCCCGCTCTCGTGTCCATCCGTCTGTCTGTCTGTCCGTCCGTCGTCCGTGTAAGAGGAAGGAGATGAGCTAGAGGTCT